GCCGAGGTCAAGGACACAGAATCAGACACAAAGATGAGGGAAAGCCAAAAGTCAAGGATACCAGATATCAGGGAAGTCAAAATAAAGCCAAAGTCAAATACCAGAAAATCAAGATCAGGAACGCACTCCCTGATAACCATAAGCATGAAACCACGAGAGGGTAATGAGCAAGAGGAGAGTTGGGTTTAAATACCCCTCCTCTGGATCCGATTGGCTGTAACCGCAGTGTGTGTGTAGGGGTTCAGTGTGTGTGTGTGATGCAGTGTGTGTGTGGAGAGGGGCAGTGTGTGCAGGGATTCAGTGTGTAGGGGTGCAATGTTTGCCGAGGTTACAGTGTGTAGGGGGTGCTGTGTATGTGTGGGGGAGGTGTAGGGGTTCAGTGTGTAGGGATGCAGTGTGTGGGAGGTGCTGTGTGTGTAGATATTCAGTGTGTGGGGGCTGCTATGTGTGTAGAGGGGTTCAGTGTGTGTGAGGCTGTGCAGTGTTTGTGGAGGGGTGATGTATGTGTGGAGGGATGCTGTGTGTCAAGGGGTGTCAGTGTGTGTGGAGTGCTTTATATTCCCTAAGCCCTTCTTCTTACCTTTGCCCGGGGGAGGACTTTTCCATACATGGTGGTTCAGGGGTGGCATGTGCAGTTTATCCTGCAGCTCCTCTGGCTGCAGGCTGACTACTCTCTCCTCCCACGAGTACAGTGCCGTATCAAAATGTTGCCAGGGTAAGATGCAGCAACGCTCCAACCTACCTGCTTGTGGGAGGAGCATTATGCCTCCCAAGCCCTTGCTCTCTGCTACCTCAAAATAGTCTTTGTTTGGGCTATGTGTGTGTGCAGGTTACTCAGACAGGTCCTTTATTTAGACAGGTAACACTCAGATTGGTTGTCAGCTGGCTAGTTGCCACATAATTAACCTACTCACCACTGTGAGTTTTTACCATTTTGCTGGCAAATTTTTTTTTTAAATCTGGTCTCGAGTTGGGCATAGATTTTTTTGATTTGGTGCATAATTCAGGCCCTCTGGGGTTCTGAACTACAAAATCTGGTAATTGATGAATTATATCAAAAAATTCCACATTTTGCAGTCCAAGTGGTTTTGCCCTATTTTATTCAAGGCCATTTTGGACTTTAGTAAATAAGCCTGATATTGTCCAAAAAAAGTACTCAGGAATATTTGATATTAATGTTCCACTACAATGCATCAATTAAAAAAAGCTACTGTACTATCAAAAGCCATCGGATCTGACCACGTAGCATCTCAAATTCCTGAACAACTTAATGGTGGCCAGGATAGGAAGGTGTCAGAACACGCAGTGCATCATTTGTTGTGTATGGGGCTACATAGCCGCATGGGGACATGAACATCAGAACCAAACCATGGAGCAAAGGGCGAAGGCTGCAAGGTCTGATGAATCACGTTTTTTTTTTTAGACAAGATGGATGTATGAGTCATTTTACTTGTGGAAGAGATAAGAGGAGGATGCACTATGGTAAGAACTCAGGCTGGGGTGGCAGTCTTACACTCTGGGCAATGTTCTTCTGGGAAACCTTGGGAAGAGGTATTCATGTGGGTGTTACTTTATCATGTACCACCTACTTAAAGATTGTTGTAGACCACATACACCCCTTCATGACAATGCTGTTCCCTGATAACAGTGGCCTCTTTCATCAGGATAATGCACCCTGCCATACTGCAAAACTTGTTAAGGAATGGTTTGAGGAACAAGACAAAAAGTTCAAGGTATTGCCTTGGCCTCCAAATTTCCCAGATCTCAAACCGATTGAGAATCTGTGGGATGTGCTGGAACAACATATCCGATTCCGATCCATGAATGCCGCACCTCACAACTTGCAGGACTTAAATAATCTGTTGCTCATGTCTTGGTGCCAGATACCACAGGACATGTTCAGAGGTCTTGTGAAGTCCACGCATCAGAGCAGTTTTGGCATTATGAAGATGACCAACACAATATTGGGTTGTATTAGTATTGTGGCTGATCAGTGTATGAGTGAATATATCTGTGTGTGTACATTTAAATACGTGAGTGTATGTATCTGTGTGCACATGTAAATATGTGAGTGTATGTATCCATGTGTATATGTAAATATGTAATTATATATATCTTTGTGTATATGTGTAAATACGTGTGTATATTTCTGTGTGTAAACATGTTGAGCATGTAACTAGTGTGAGTACATATCTGTGTATGAGTTTATAATTAAGTGTATATAAGTGAGTGTGTGCACATTTCAGGATGTATTTGTGAAGTTTTGTATTTATTTGTAAGAGTTTGAGGGCAATATGTTGCATATATGAGATTATGTATGTTTAAGTGGGTGACGTACATTTATAGTTTGAGGTTATATATTTAGGCATGTAAACGTATTTATGTGTTCCTGTTTCCACATATGTATCTTCTCAAAATGCCCAAAGGAAGTGATGATTATTATATTTCTTTACAATAAAAGAACATCTTATCCTGCTCTACAGACAAGGGAGAAGAGACTGTGTAATCCAAAAACTCATTTGTTAACCTATCACAGCTATGCTTCAGGGAACATCTTAAAGCAGCTCTGTTACCTTCTGGCTTATTTGCATATTATGGTATCGCCACTTGAGGTGTGGTGGCTGGTGATGCAGCAACAGGGGAGGGAGGTCCATCTTTAATCCTTAACTCCTGGTGGAGTTTTATAAACCCAGGTTTACTTTACTTACTCATTTTTTTTACATTTTATTTATCAGCTACTAAACTGTGAACTGGGGTGCTGGTGTGGGTGTTTGGGTCCCTGGTCTCCATGTCAGAGCATTGAAAAGGGTTTACCTACCTTTTTTCCCACGCTCCAGTGAGATCTTCATTTCCTGGCTGAGGTTCAATCTAATGCTTTGGGAGGCTATTGCACATGTGTGGCAAAATATCATGCTGTGCCACTCAGGATCTCCTAAAAGAGATGCATTGAATCAATACATCTCTATGGGAAACGTGAATTAAAACACTGAACATAGGTGCTGGACTAGGAAGCCCCTCTAGTGGTCATAAGAGTGATTGCCACCATAGGTGTTATTTGGCATCAAAGTAAACATTGTGTGTTTCTGGGTTTTTGTGTGTAAGAGATGCATTGTATGCTTCTGTGTTTGTGCATGTAAGGGATGCATGGGGTTATGTGTTTCTCTGTGTGTAAGGGATGCATTGAGTGTCTGTGCATGTATGTGTGTGTGTGTATGTATGTGTGTGTGTAAAGGATGCATTGAGTGTCTCTCTGTGTGTGTAAAGGATGCATTGTGTGTTTATGTGTGTAAGACATTCATCTTACACACATAAAC